AACAGATTCTGCTCCAGCTCCTTATTTTAACTCTCTCTGTGTAGTTCTATTTCAAGTTTGTCTCATGTAAACAATATATTGTTGGATTCTGATTTCTAATCCTTTCTGCTATCTTCATTCATTGTATGGGTGAGTTCATCCCATTCACATGTATGATTTCTTACCATGCATTTCCCTCTATACTCTTTCTCTTTTTTGACCCTGTCCCATTCTCAAAAGTCTGTTTTGCTTTGGACTACTGCCCCCTTAATCAATTCCCTTTTATCTTCTCCCTACCCCTTTCTCTTAGCAACTTCCTCTCATACTTCCCTATGGAATTAAGATGAATTTATATACCCAACTCTGTGTGTGTGTGTGTGTGTATACGTACATAAATATATATTATATATATATGATAAATATATATATGTATGTATACACACACACATTTCCCTCATTTAACCAGTTCCGATAAAATTGAGGTTCAAGGGCAGCTAGGTGGCACAGTGGATAGAGCATCAGCCCTGGAGTCAGGAGGACCTAAATTCAAATCCAGCCTTAGACGCTTGATACTTACTAGCTGTGTGACCTTGGGCAAGTCACTTAACCCCAATTGCCTCAACAAAAAAATTGAGGTTCAAACATTGCCTACTCCCTGTGTCCCATTTTACCCTTAATTTCCCTCATTCTTCCTTTCCCTTCCCCCTTCTCCCAGTGCACCCTTCTTTCTTATGCTTCCATTCTTCTCTTGAGATAATCCCAACATAATAGGCTTACACCCATGCCCTCTATGTAGACTCATTCTAACTGCTCTAAATGGTTATAACTTCTTAGGGATTATTTCTCACCCATGTTTACCATTTTTGTTTCTCCTGAGTCATGTGTTTGAATATCAAATTTTCTATTCAGCTTGGGTCTTTTCAACAGGAATGCTTTAAAGTCCTTTATTTCACTAAATGACCACTTTTACAGCCCAGTGGATTCCTAGAAGTTTTCAGTGCTTTCAAAGTGTATGATCCAGGGAGAGATCTGGTCACTGACCTCCTGCTCTTCACTTTAGGTAGGACCCCTCTTTCCTCAACTGCAACCACTCCACCCTAGAATTGCAACACAAGACTGGGTAATGGGTGACAGCTCTGAAATTGCATTAGGTCTTATGTCCTGTACTAACACAGGGGTCTCCGGGATCTTTCTGACCAGGTGTTCAGTCACCTTACCATCCCTGGGCACTACTTCCCTTTGCCACCATTACAATCCACAGTGGGTGCTGCTTTTCCCATGCACTGCACTGCCAGGCAGCCCCCACCCCAGTGTCCACAAGACCTCTTTCTGTCTTCCTGACCTGCCCTGGGTTGGAAAATTTACTCACTGTGACTTTTTGTTGATTTTCCCACCCACAATTCAGTTTAATCCACTTTTAAAAGTTGTTACATAGAGGTGTTTGGGAGAACTCAGAAAAAAAATGCTTACTTGACTCTACCACATTGGATCTGCACCTCTATTTCATTTATTTAAATAATAAATTTTATTGATATCTTTTTACCACCTTCATTTACCCAGGTAGCCATCCTTTGTAACCAAGGAAAGCAGTTAAGCAAAAACCGCTGATACAGTGACAATATCTGTCATTATTTGCCCTATTACATACCCATAGATTCCCAATTTTTCAGCGAAAAGAAGGAGGTACACTTCTTCATATCTTGGGGCCAAGATTTGTCATTATAATTACAAAATGTTCAAGTTTATTCTAATGTGTTTTTTCTTTACATTACTATAGTCATTGTGAATGTTGCTACCCTGGTTCTGCTTTACTCTTCCATCACTTTCTAGTTGTTTTTCTGAATTCTTGTTTATTATTATGGCATAATAATATTCTGTTATATTCATGTTTCACAGTTTGTTCAGCCATTCCTCAATCAAGGAAAACCCACTTCATTTCTAGTTTTTGATGCTAAAGAAAGTGTTCCTATGATTATTTGGGTATATAAAGCACCTTTCTTTCTGTCTTTGTCCTCCCTACAGTATACACCTAACAGTGGTATCAAAAGGTATGGCATTCAAAGGATTGGATACTTGTAATTATTTTAGAAATAGTTCAAATTATTTTCAAAAATGGTTGAACCAATTCACAGGTTCACCAACAGCATGCTAAGTTACCTCTCTTCCTGTATCCCTTCCAACTGAATATTTTGACTTATTTGGATTTTTGTTTTTGTTAATTTTGGTTTTGTGAACTGACTCACAGTTACTTTAATTTGCATTTCTATTATTAGTGTTTTGGGGGTAGTCTTCCATATGGTTATTGATAGTTTGCAATTCTATTGAAAACTTTTATAGATGTCCTTTGATCTTTTGTCTATTAAAATGGCTATTTAGCTTTCATATTTATGTTCATCTATCAGACTTGTAACAGTGATATTTTTTGCAAAGTCTTTCTTCCCAGTTGAGTATCCCTTCTTATTCTGGCTGTATTTAACTGTATGGTGCAAAAGTATTTAAGTTTATGTAGTTAAAACAGTCTATTTTCTTCTTTCATCATCACCTTTACCTTGCCTGGATTCCTGCCTTCCCAGAGTTATTAAAGGTACCTCTTCTATCTCCTTATAAAAGGAAAAAAATGTGACCTTTTATATTTCACTTAAGTATTCATTTGGAATATTTTGTAGTATATGGCCTGAAATGCTTATATATGCAAATATATATGATGCATAAATACATTCTACCAGATTTTACCAGTTTTTCCCAGTAGTTCTTGTCAAATAGGGTATCTTTTATCTATTAGTTTATAGTCTTGGTTTTATTAAACATTGGACTGATGAATTTGGTTATTTCTGGCTCTTTATTTTGAGATAGTAACTTTTATAGGGAATACTTCAAATTTAATAGAATAATTTCAACACTGTCCTGCTTATCTGTATCCCCTTCTGAACTTTCTTCTGCTTATTTCTATTTATTTGTTTAGTGGCATTAGCTTCCTTTCAATTTTTCATTTGTTTAGTATCATAATTAATGTTCTCTTATAAAAATAAGTATAGTAATGCAAAAAAAAAAAAGAATGAAAATCCACACATTGGCCAACTCTGAAAATATATGTTTCATTCTGCACCCCTAGCCAATCACCTCTTTGCCAAGAGGTGGAAAGAATGGCTCATTGTCTGGAATTTTTCTTCTAGAATCATGACTGGGTATTACATTGACCTGAGTTCTTAAATTTTTCAAAGTTATTTTTCTTTATAATGTAGTAGTCATTATATAAATTGTTCTCACTCTGCTTGCTTCATTCTGCATAAGTTCATATAAGTCCTACCAATTTTCTCTGAACCTCTCCCTTTCATAATTTTGTACAATAATATTCCATTAATTCAGATACTATAATTTGTTCAGCCTTTCCCTGGTTAATGGGCACCCACTATTTCTAGCTCTTTGATACAAAGGAAAAAAAGGTCCTATTTTTTAATTTTACACATGGTTTCTTTCCCTCTGTCTCTGATCTTTTTGGTGTTACAAGCCCAGTAAATGAGACAAATGGTATTATAGTTTAGTGACTTTTGGGGTAAAATTCCAAATTACCAGAATGGTTGGACCACTTTATAATTCCAGCAGTGTGTTACTGTGTCTGTCCTCCCATATCCTCTCTAATAATTGTAATTTTGCTCTTTGGTCATCACTGCCAATATGTGTCTGAGATGAACCTCAGAGTTGTTTTATTTTTAATTTCTATTACTAATAATGTTTTTTTTAAATGGTTGATAGCTCTCCTTTCTTTTTTTGGAACTGCCTATTTTTCTTTCTTTATTACAAATTAGTTTTCATATATTTTATCAGTTTGTTATCTGTCTTTGATATAAGACTTTTATCAGAGAAACTGGCTACAATGATTTTTTTTTGTTTCTTTTCCACTTTTTTCTGTATTGATTTTATTTGTGCAAAAACTTTTCAATATTACATAACCAAAACCATCTACTTTATTTCTTTCTATTTATTCTCTATCATTTTGTTAAAAACTCTATTCCTAATTGTTAATGGTATCTCTTTCCATTATCCTCTATTACATAACTTTTTTATATTTAGACATATCTATTTGGAGCTTATTGGTGTATATATGAGATACTGATCTAAATCTAATTTCTGCTTTCCAATTTCCCAGAAATTTTTATCTAACAGAATTCTTTTTTTTTTTTTTTCCGGTGAGGCAATTGGGGTTAAGTGACTTGCCCAGAGTCACAAAGCTAGTGAGTGTTAAGTGTTATGAGGCCAGATTTGAACTCGGGTCCTCCTGACTCCAGGGTGGGTGCTCTATCCACTGCGCCACCTAGCTGCCCCCTCTAATAGGATTCTTACCCTGCGCATTGGAGTCCTTAAGTTTATTGAATAATTATTTCTGAGTTGTGTGTGCCTAATCCAATCCACTGACCAAATTTTATATTTTTTAACCAGAACCAAATAGTTTAGATTATTACTTTGCAGTATTTTTTGAGATCTAGTCCTGGTAGCATCCCTACTTTTTTTTCCTATTAACTCCCTTGAAATTCTTGATCAGATGAATTTTTTTTATTATTTTGTAGATTGATTCATATGACACTGATTCTGTAAATTAATTTTGGTAGTAATGTAATTTGGATTATATCAACATGGCCCAACCATGAGCAATTCATCTCTCTCTAATAATTTGTCTGTATTTTTGTAAAGAATGCTTTTACAGTTGTATTCATGTCTTTCCTGTGTCTTATCAGTAGTTGGACTACTAGACATTTTCAAACACTTTGCTGTTATTTCAAATGGAATTTCCTTTTACATCTTTTCCCACTGAACTGAAGGTAGGAAATTTTTAAAAGCCATTAAATGATTACAACAAATTTTTACACATTCATTTTTTTTAAGCTTTCATGAATGGACTGGCATTTCTTTTTTTTCCCAAGAATTGACAATTTGAATCTACTGGAGTTAGTCAAAACTGAAAATCATTACTTTAATGTAAAGCATATATATAACTTCAATAACATGTGTGCTTTTCCCTTCAGATGACACTCAAACTAAAAAGCGTTCAGCATCTCTAAATTCTAAGGTAATTAAAGCTGCATGGAATTCCAAAGAGTTTATAAGATGTATATTGCCTTACTATTTATTCCGTAGTGTCTTGGTATAAACTATCTTTTAATCTTACCCAATATATAAAAAATCTGGATTCTTTGAAATGACAGACTATTTGAATTTTAAAATTTGAGGAGACCTTGGAGGCCATGTAGTAGAGCACTTTCACTTTACTGAAGATGAAACTACTGAGGGCCAGAGAAATTCAATAATTTGCCTGAGGTCATACATTTAGTTTGTAAAACAGCCAGGTCTAGGATTTAGGTCTTCTGACTCCCAGTCTATTCCTCTTTTCAATATACCCTGATGCTAATGAAAATATGGAGTAATTACTTGTTTTACAAAATTATTCACAATGAGATTACATTAACTAATAAGTTCATTGAGTGCATTAAAATTACTATTAAATTTTTACTTAGATGTTACTTTTAAATAACATGTCTTGTTTACATAGAGTAGACACATCAGCATGTGTTTAAAACATACAGTGGGAGAGGGGGATGGCCTTAGAGTCAGGAAGACCTGGATTCTAAGTCCTGTTTTTGGCATATAGAAGCTATGTAACCATAGTTGAGTCTTTTAAACTCTAAAATGCCCCTAGATAACTCTGTAAAAGTTGGAGATGAATTGACAATCTGCATCAGTGGAGGGACATTTCACACCAGGAATCCCCTATAAACTACAGAAGTCATAGTTTGGGAACAAAACAAACAAATGAACAAACAAAATGAAACTCAACCCCAAAAGACATCAAGTCATCCAAAACACCGAGTACAACAAAAAAAAGTGATCCACTTAAATAATGAGGCAAACAGATTATGGTGTACATTGCTAAGATCTAACAAGTGCTTAAATTATAAAATGTGCTCATAAAGTGGTGCAGCTGGTTCTACAAAGCATGAAATTTCACTCTTCTTATTTTAAAGGTATACCTACTTCATGTATTTTAATGCAATGAAGCTTGGGTTATAGTAATCTTTTATAGGAGAATATCTCCTTCGGAAAATATTAATCTAAACATCTTTAGTTACCTAGAAATCTGAAAACCTTTCAGATAATTTTTTTTTTTTGGTAACTAGAAATTTTTTCCATAGATTCAATTTTTTTTTTAAAAAATCAGGGTAACTTAGGAAATAAATATCAAAATTATAAAACCTTTACATTTCTATTTACCTAAAAACTGGCTATTATTTGCAAAGTTGAATGTTTCTTTTTAAACTAACTATATGGATTTAAATCATAGTAAGAAACAAAAAAAAAAGAATTTAAATGACAGTAAATGATCAAGTCCATTTCTCTAATTGTAATGTGATTACTAAAAAAAGTTTATAATTTTGGATATTTATTGTTTATTCACATTGGCTAAAAAAAAACAAGAAACAAAAAACAAACAACTGTATGTGGGACGGGGATAATGTCATTCCCTTATTCCTATTTTAGTCAAAGTTCATTGAATATTAAGAGTTATGACTTCAAAGGGGTTGGGCCTGTTGAAAGCTAGATAATGTCTTTTTCTGTTCTCTAGTTTCTACTCTTAATAGATTGTAGCATCAGAATACTTACTGATATTAACTTGAACTCCCCACTGTTCTGGATCTTCTTTTGCAGTTTTGTGGAGATAATTTCATGTAGTGGAACAAGTCCTGCACTTAAGGGTCAGGAAACTTAAAAGTACCAGCTCCAACACATATTAGTTATATGACTTTGGGCAGGTTAATTTACTTGGGCATCAGCTTACTCAAATATAAAATATCTGCATTACCTCCCTCAAAGAGTTAAGAGGAAAGCATTTAGTGAGCTTTATAGCATTATGGAATTGTTCCTTTTTTTTTTTCTTTGCCTTCAAACCCTTTTTCTTGTTTCCACAACTTCAAGAATACTTACTGTAGAGGTTTGGTTTCTTAAATTAAAAGCTACGAAGTAGGCTCTTTCAGCTGGGTCCTTCCTCATAAGCTAAAGAACATAAGCCTTACACTGTCAATACTGTAAACATTAAATGATAATAGCTAACATTTGTATAGCACATTAAGATTGAAAAGTTTTCCATATATTACCTCATTTGATACAATAACCCTGTGACATAGGTGCTAAGTCAAAGTCTTCCCTGTTCTATCCAACCAGAAGAGTTATTTCCCTCCTCAGAACTCTGTGACTCTCTTCTGTGTTTATTGTTTTATTTTGTATTATAGTTATTTGTATGTGTTTTCATCCCCTCCTAGGTAAACTCACAGTTTCATATTTCCTTCACATTATTTCTCTCCTGCACATAAGACACAATGGTTGTTGAATTTCTTATATACAGTTAAGTATATCTGTATAAAGCTTGTATATAATAAATATAAACACCACTAATCCTTAAAACATCAAACCCAACAAAAATAGTTAGTTGAAAACCACCATTAGTCCAAATTGCCCAGATTTTAAAATTTGTAGGATTCTTTATTCTACAGTCTTCTCTGTGACTTCAAGTATTTAATTGAAATAGGCTCATTGCAGAGAGCAAATGTGAAAATTTTCTTTTTGGGACTGCTACAGAAGATCTCTCCTGTCAGTATATTGCATGTGGCATTCTTCCAAAGACTGTAGACTTTATACTATAAAAAATTGGGAGGCATGGGACTTTATCACAACAATCATTCAGATTTTATTTTCTATTTTGGCTTGAAATGTGGTTTAGAAGTACTTCCACTGAAATAAGTTCAGTAAGTGGGAATATATTTCATTCATCTAAATAATCTCTAGAGGTCATTAAAATGTATCATACAATATTGTTATTTTAATTTGTTAATGAACCATAATCATGTGTGTGTATCTGTGTGTATGTGTATCTATAGCCATCTTCTCTTCGAAGAGTCAGCATTGCAACCTTGCCCAGGAATTTTGGAAATACAGGACTGGTAAGAAAATTCCTAAAGTTTCTCTTTTAAAAGCAAAAGTTTTCAGATAGGAAAAACAGAAACTCATTAAATTCACATTCTAATTTTTCTTTTAAAACCTCGATTACCAAAGATGTCAGGAATTGAAAAAAACGACCGCTTCAGTAGGAGGTCAAGTAGTTGGTAAGTTTATGACTTTGTCCATTATTTGGGAAATTTATGCCTATTTTTAATCAAGTAGATTTGTGTTCGAAATATATACTGTTATATACTATGACATTTAACTGTTATATTATTGCAAGGTCAACTAGTACAAAAACTTGGTTTGTCCATGAATAAAATGTGTCAGGTTTTCCTTTGGTTTTACGTGAAACAAGAGTTGTATAACTAATTTCAGCGATGTGAAATGAGCTGTATTTTTTTTTTTTTATTCAGGCGTACTTTGGGATCAAAGCAAAGTGAACATCGTCCATCACTTCAGCACTTCAGTAGTACGTATTCTTGGGCTGATGATGAAGGAGAGAAATGTGATTCAAAGTAAGTAAAGCCTATTAATATAGCTACTGGAAGTGTACATAAACCCTTCAACATTAGAATATATATTTTAAACTACACTGAAAAACAGATTTTTAAAATTAATATCTTCCAGTAATCTTGATGGAGAGATTTGCTAATGTGATACAGATTTATTGTGTGACTGCGTATGTAAACAAAAGGCCAAATTAGTTGTGTTCCTTGAGAACTTTATAGGAATGCAACTGACTTTCACTTTAGATCTTATTTTCCTTTTAAAAATCAACCGAAAGAAAATTTATTATAGATCCCTTATGGACAGCTCAGGCCAAAAGGAAAATGTTAAGTGCCACAATCCACTCTGGCATTATAATTCTGTGCTGCTGAACAAAGAAGACTTCAAAAATCCAAATCCAAATAGATAAGTACTACTCAATGAACATAATGAAATGATTTAATTTTTAAGAAACTCTTTAGTCATTATTAGCTTAGTGAAATGACAACTTTCGGTTTATAGAATGGAGCATAGGAATCTTCAGGTTGCTGGTTCAAATCCAGTCTGCAGGAAGACAGCCATTATTATTTTGATTCACTTTTTCTTTCCCAGAAGACTATATCCATTATTATTTGTTTAAAATTACCAGTGTTTCCATAAAATCCTTTTCCTGGTCAAGCTATTAAAAATTTTAAAAGTATTTCAAATTAATGAGATCTTTAGGGGGGAAAAGACCTGAACCATCATGTTTTTGATAATACAAAATGTTAAGCATGAGCAAAATATATTTTCAAAGAAAGATTTTAAAATCAAACAAATGAATAAAATTAGGAACTTGTTAGAATAGTTTTGTAATCACGGTTTTCTAAAAATATATTTTAAATCAATCACCTGCTATAATTTAACATTATTTTTATTTTGCATGATGAGCTCTTATAGTCTTAAATATTAAAATTGACTTATTTAAAGAGATAAAGAAGAATCAGAACCACCTGCTGAAGAAATTTCAGAGGAAACAAGAAAGCTAAGCCTTTCTGAAAAGAAGAAAAATCAATCCAGATGGGATGTTTCTTCACTGTAAGTGGTGTATTTGCTAAAAAGATGTAAATTCTGTATATGTGTATATGAAGGGTTGGAAGGAAAATGGAAGAGGAGAACGTTAACCTTAATATCCTTAATCATACAACTTCACAACACAGACAACATATCCAAATTAATGTAGTTAGTACAAAATAGTTTTCACTCAGTCTTTTAAATGATGCTGTGGTCAGCAGTATGGATGATGATGATGATGATGATGATGATACAGATACAAAGTGAACTTACTCAATTTCAAGTTGTCAGGGGTGAGGGGAGTGCTTGAATCTTAAAGAATTAGAATTCTAGTTATCACCTAGATACATAAAATAAAATAGCAATCAGAAACAGTAAAATTAAGTAAGGATGAGTATTCAGGGTATGATGGGAAATGGCTTGCTTTACATGAATGTGACTAAAAAAAAAATCTCTTAAATTCTAAGTCCCCTCACTTCGGAAAAGAAACTCTGTGTGTGTGTGTGTGTGTGTGTGTATCCTTGCAAATCTTAAGGCACTATATAAATGCTAGCTATTATATGCTATAAATAGTAGTACGTTTATACTTGTAAAAAATAGGAACCTCTTGATTTTCTTCATGGAAGAATTTCATTTAAAGCTGTTATCTAAAGGAGAGGGTAGCAAAATAATTTGTAGCCCGGTGCAATGACGCAGCCAGCGTTTATGTATAGAGAGTATATAAAGTATACTAAAGACTATTTAGTATATTTAACAACAGTAGCATTGATAGATAACAATGCCCTGGCATAATCAGCTTCCCGTATTTGTGCTTTCCTCATAGTTACGACATGGGAACAACCTGGGCGTGTGATCTCAAGACCTCCTTCCAAAAGACAAATCTAACCCTCTGGATTTCTGTCGTGTTTATTGTACTGTTTGCAGCTTTTATGAGTTTTCTTACAGGCCGATTTTTCCAATGGCCTGTAGATGCTGCTCCTGTAGAAAATGGGGGCTCCTGGACTTCCCTCCAACAAACTTTGTGGCCATACACCAAACTCCAACACAATGGGCCCCCACCAGTATAAATGGCAACAGCAATCACATGATGAGTTTTAAATGACCTGCAAATTGGTCATTTAAGTCTGGAAAGTTGCTTTACTATTTTAGTATAAAAAAGTGAAACATAGAAAAACCTCCACCTTTTAAAAATGTTACTGTCATTCTTATGTTCCCGATAATTTTCTAAAAGTAAGTTAATGAAATAGTGTTCACTTCTCAAACTCCATAGGAAGTCTGATTTTTAGTGAACCTTACGAAGAAAGTTTGTACTGTTTTATCCACTGTGAAATGTTAAAGAAATAAAGAATCATTACAGTTTTAATACAACAGCAGTTGAAACATGCCTAAATGTTCTATTGCAGCGCTTTCATTCAAAAATAAAATGTGTGTAAAAATGCTGAGCACACAACTTTAATGGGAAATTTAAATTCTACTCCTCTTGTAATATTTAGCTGAATGAATACCTGATTTTTTTTTCAAATGTTCTTGATTCACCAAATTTACACTTGCAGGCATTAAGAATAGGTTAGCACTCTAGTAGAGAGCAGAAGTTTGCACACAGCATCAATGAATAGATAGTTTGAATGCCTGATTTTCTGCAGTGCGTCTTCACTAGTAAAGTCCTTGATCATGTGATATAAGGTGGAATGAAATTCAGTATCATCTTCTAACTCTTCTGAAAACGCCTCACTGAGTTCATTAATCTTGAGTTTTTGGGCTCTTTCACCATTGAACATATAAAGGGACCACTCATTATCCTCAACATATTCTTTTTGGAGAAGTTCACTTGCCTACAGAAGAATGAAAGAACAAAGAATTCTAAGAGTTACAAAGCTACCATATTGCCCAGCAGTAGAGGGTTATGTGGACCCTCATTGACACTTGTCCAAGTACCAAAGTGCATCAAAAATAAAAAGTTATCTACTTTCTAACTGCCAGTTATGAATTCTCATCTCAAAACTATTTATACTCCTGGTGTGAATTTGATGTTATGAACACTCAGTTTGGACTAAAATGTGCTCAGTGTTAAGCTGTTGGGCCTTGATAGGATCTTGAGGGTCTTTTTCCCCAGGCACTTCTAAAAATGAGAGAATGCTTTTCATCCCATAATTCTTTCAGAGGAACAAGCACAACAATCATAACTATGATATTCATAAATAAAATACCTTTACAGCCTTATTTCACAATAATTCCTTTGATAAACTCTCTGTTCCAGGCAAAATGGCCTCCTAACCAGTCCTCAGACTCTATATGGGTACAAGTCATCCCTTCATGCTTTGAATGCCCTCCCACCTCATCTCTGCCTCTTGAAAGGCTCCAGCTCAGGTGCTACCTCTTTTGCAAAGCTTTCCCAGACTTCTTTAGGTAATAATCCTCCCTCAAATTCCCTTCTATTTACTTATCTGAGCCCATGCTTTATCTTCCCTCTCTTGCCAGTACGAACAGCAGCTTCTTTTAAGTTAGGGACTTTTCCCATCTTTGTCTTGTTGTTTTAGCATTTAGTCTAGTGCCTTATACATTTTAGTGGTTGAATAAATATTGAATTGCATGTAATTAGATTTTTTTTTTCATATTTTAAAAGGAGAAGTTAACTTTATCTTTCCTTTTTGTTCTGCTCCTAAGGCATCATATATAGTATCTTCTTTATAATGATATTGTAGGTTGAATTTGGACTTTTTGAAAATATACCTTAAAAACAACTTTTTCAGGACCAGATTGCTTATTCCATTTACTCCAACTGAAAGAAAAGGCAGATGCCAATAGGGCCATTTGTCGATAAGCCTTCATTTCTACTAATGGATCCTGCAACATAAACACAAAAGGAACTAATCACATACTACAAAAATAAACATTAACACTATATTCGTCACTAGGGGAGGGAGGATACTTTGGGCAACCTGACTTACTTAGGCATATTTTGTTATACAAATAACACATTTATGTCATGGTACATCTACCCATGCTGTTAGTTTTCTATAATTTTTCATGAATATTTAAATTCAGATAAACTGATGTTTGCAAAATGAAAGATCTTTTTTCTTTTCTTTTTTAAAAATTTATTTAGTATTTTATTTTTCCCCAGTTACATGTAAAAACAATTTTTAACATTTTTTGGGGGGGGGCTAGGCAATGGGGTTAAGTGACTTGGCTAGGGTCAGTAAGTGTTATGTGTCTGAGGCAGGATTTGAACCTGGGTCCTCCTGTATCCAGGGCTGGTGCTCTGTCCACTGCACTACCCAGCTGTCCCCTTAACATTCCTTTTTAAAACTTTTGAGTTCTAAATTCTCTCCCTTCCTCCTTTCCTGACCCTCCCCGCATTGAGAAGGCAAGCAATTCAATATAGGTTATACATGTATAGTCATGCAAAACACATCCATAATAGTAGTGCTGTGAAAGAAAATATAGACAAGAAAAAAAAACTCAAGAAAAATAAAGTAAAAAAAAAAAGTATGCTTCAATCTATATTCAGACAACATCAGTTCGTTCTCTGGGGATGGACAGCATTTTTCATTAAAAGTCCTCAAAATGAAAGATCTTTAATGACTCTTTGTCTATAGAGCCATTCTGTCTATACCCCACAATATGCCTTGCCTAATGACTGGATAAAGCAAGCATTTTTTTTGTGATAATGATACTTTGCCTAAAGTCACAAGATTGATGGTACAATGTCCTGACAAGAAAGTCATACTGAATAGGATGACAGGATGATAAAATGTATCTGTGAAGGTATTCAGCAAGATGGACAGTTCCCAGCTCAAATGCAATTAAAACCCAGCTATGACTTAATAAATAAATTCTAGGGAGCTAAGGCTTATAGAGGACATGCCCAGGTCACAAAGTCACTCAGCTGATGTCAGAGGGGAGATCTGAACCCAGGTCTTCTTGGTTCCAAATTCCCTTCAATAAAAATAATAATAATAATAGTTCCTATCTACACAAAGCTTTAAGGCTTACAGGGGTGCCATATTATTAGCATTTCCCTAATAAAGACAAGGAAATTGAGTCATAGAGGTTAAGTGACTTGTCCATTGTCACACAATTGGTGTTAGAGCTTTGACAGAAATCTTGTTCTCTTCTAAATCCAAATCCATTGAAATTTCCACATATACCACATACCACATCATCTCTAAAGGCCCACAGGATCCTAACACTTAAAGCTGGCCACAGAAAAGGAAATCAATTTCAAAAGCCTTTCTCATTTTTTTGGAGTAGTTTCCATCTATACTCCCGCCTGCACCACTGGTGAGGGAGGGGACATATACCTATTCCTAGGGCTTAGAGGTATTCCAAAAGCATTTACAAAATCCCTCCCTTAGAGGGCAAATGTCATAGACTACAGATTTAACACCAAAACAGGGCTTAGAGGCCAACAAATCCAAGCACCTCACTTAACAGAAAATACTGAGGCACAGACAGATGAAATGACAGCTCATACATCAATTTCTAAGGCAAGAAGGCACTCGGGTCTTCCTGACTCCAAGCCCCAAACTTGTAACAATAATCATAATAGTAGTAATAACAATAGTAATAATAATGGCGAGCACTTTAAGGTAATCAATGTTATCTCTTTTTGTCCTCACAACTGCTCTTGGAAGAAGAAAGGTGCTATTACTATCTCTCCCCTGAGTTCAAAAGGCTTGGAGGGCAGGGTACCAAACTCCTCCCAGTGTCTTCCTTAATAGAGGGCAGAAAACTGAACTCTGAGATCATTCCACTTAGCATCTGCTGCTCTGTCTCATTTCTCTGTGCTGGGTACACTCTGGTGCCTCCCACCCCTCCCCACACACCTTGTTTTCCTGTCTCCTTTTGTGTGTTGTCTCCCCTGTTAGATTGTAAGCTCCTTGAGGGCAGGGACTGTTTTTCTTTCATTAATTGTATCCCCCAGCATTTAGCATGGTGCCTAACACATAATAGGTGCTTAATAAATATTTACTGGATTGGATCATTATTTCCATTTTACAGACAAAGAAACTGAGGCACAGAGCAGTTAAGTGTCTTGCCCTGCGGCAAGTAACGTGGGTCACACAGTAAGTATCTGAGGTCATATCTGAATTCAGGACTTCCTGATTCCAAGTCTACTGTACCACATAGCTGCTGTTGTCCACTGACTGCAGGCTTGGAGAAGGGGAAGTATTCCTTGGGTGTGGCCTTTTGACTAAGTCCAAGTTTTACAAAACAAATCCTTTTATTAAGGGGATTTGTTCTGTGAGGTTTGGATTCAGTCAAAGGGCTGCACCTGAGGACCTAGAGGACCACATGTGGCCTCGAGGCTGCAGGTTCCCCACCCCTGACCTAGCCTTTGAATGCTTCCTCTGACACTATCTGGGTGACTATGGACAACACAATGCCTCTGAGACTGTTTCCTCACTAATAAAATAGGGACAGTCATACCTATAAAATTTCCCTTACAGGGCCTGGAGGCTCCAATGAAGTAATGGACTTGAGGCATTTTGTAATGTTTCAAGCATTATATGTCATTTACTACTACTGTCAATGCTTGGTCCATACCCTACATCGACTAAGTGGGGATGGTCTAAATTTTTCATACTAAAGATCACTGATGGGACTGTGTGTTTTTATTAGAGGATTAAGCTTCAGAGAAAACTGTTATAGTAACGGCATTTAGATCAAATACTGGGAAGTTAAAGAACTGGACTAAATTTCTAATCCTGCCAATGATTCCCATGTAGTAGAAGATTAATGGGACGAGCAGAGTTTTATTTATTCTTCTCCCTCTTCCTATGCCCCTGGATAAGTGAGGCTGTCAAATCCTCTTGAGCTCCTTAAAATGTATGTGTGTGCATGTGTACATACATCTATACATACACATCTATACATACATATATAATATGATGTGTATATATATATACATATATTTATACATATATACATAAGTAATGTTATATTCATTATCATCAACAAATTTAATTTTAAAAGCATCATTTTTACCTTGTTATTCACAGCAACGTAGACATGAGAGTACTCAGATGGGAAGATATTGAATCCAGTCTGTTTCATAGCAATTATTAAAGAAGTAATAGTCATCCATTTTCCTAACAAATGAGAGAGCTCATAGTCATCACCTAGCTCAACTGCGGCTAGCATACACTGGTTATCCTGTTTTCAAGGGAAAAAAATACATTTTTCAAAATAAAATACACTCCAAAAAAGATTAAGCTTATTTGGGAAACAATTTACATTCTTTTAAAAGTTTTAATGAATCTTTTTTTAAATCTCTTTATGGTATTTCTAATCTTCTAGTCCTAGTTCTCCCACTGATTGTGTGGTCTTGGGAAAATTACTTAGATTCTCTAGCCTTCATTTTCCTCATCTATGAAATGAGATTGGACTAGATGAACTTAAAGAATCACTCCAGTTTTAGGTTCTATGATCTAAGTATTAGAAGTTCATCTACTAAATGAATTATATATTGTGAAATAATTTGTATATTTAGCTAAAATAGTCTATCCAATGGAAACCATTTTTAAAAATGTCCAATTCTATTAAATTTTAACACAAGGCTGTAAGTGATGGTCAAGTTTCTTGAGTGCATTGACTGTGGTAGGAAGTTCTTACATGAGAGTTCCTAATTAAATGAAATTACAGATCTGGACCACTACCCTTCCAGTCATCCCTGCATTACCCCCATTAAGGAAATGTTATCCAGTTCTAAATATAGGTAAACTGGCAAATGTGTCCATTGTATCCTACTCAACTGGAAGTTGAGCACAACTTAAGTTTCATGTCATTCAGATCTCTTTGCTAAATTCATATAACGTGTAATGGCACAGATGTAATTTCTCTTTGATAGGCTGTATGGGGTAGGCTGTCATTCAGTCCTGTCTTACTCTTCATGACCTTATTTGGGGTTTTAACCTTGGCAAAGATACTGGAGTGGTTTGCCATTTCCCTCTCCAGCTCATTTTACAGATGAAGAAACTGAAGCAAACATGGTTAAGTGACTTGCCCAGGGTCACACAGCTAGTAAGTGTGTGAGACACTCTATCCACTGTGCCACCTAGCTGCCCTTACTCTGGGGTTAACATCAAGGAAAAACACCAACTTTAAGTTAGAAATTTTAGTCATAAGGTTGAGAAATCAGACTGCTTCTTTAAGGGAAGCTAGAGCAAAAAAATTTCTCATTTATTATTTTGTTTTCTTTTTAAAAATATTTCATTAATGTTCTTTTCCTTTCTACATCACTGACAGTTTATATATTCCTATTATTGGGGAATGACTAAACAAATTATAAAATATGAATGTAATAGAATATTATTGTGTCATAAAGAAATGATGAAATGGACAGTTTCCAAGGAAACTTGGGCAGACCTGCATGAACTAATGCAGAATGAAGTGAGCAGAACTAGGTAAACAATTTATACAATGATAACAGCATTACAGAGAAAAACAACTTTGAAAAATTTTAGTACTCTGATCAATGCAATGATAGCCATGAGTCCAAAACAATGAAGATGAAATATGCCATTCAGCCCTCCTGACAGAGAGATGGTGAACATAAAATGGAGACACATACATTTTTGAACATGACTAATGTGGGAATTTTTCCTCCAAACTATGGAGCTATATATTGAGAGCTTTATTTTCTATTTTTTTAATTGCTCAATGTGGGTAGAATAGTAAGAAAGGCAGATTATCTTTTAAATGTTTGTTAAATGGAAAAAAAAGTACACTTTTATAAAAAGATTTTTTCCCCTGATAGTTGGTCCATAATCAAAGTCATTCTTATTTGGTAAAGCCAATTAGAACTTGCATAGCCTTTTAGAATCCAAGATCACCTTCCTACTACAAAGAAGAATCAAAATAAGAGTTGGAGAATCTCTGAGGAATACTGGAAGAGAGTTCACAGACCATCTAGTCTAGCACTGGCCTGAGAAAGAATTCCTTCTACAATACACTGTCCGGCCCTTGTCTGGAGTATCCATCAAGTACTGTGGCTGCAAATTTTTAGTGACGGGGAACCCACTATTTTCTGAAACCATCAATTCCAATTTTTTTGTTGTTGTTTAGTTGTTTTAGTCATATCCAACTCTCTCTGATTGCATTTGGGGTTTTCTTGGCAAAGATACTGGAGTGTTTGCCATTTCCTTCTCCAGGTCATTTGACAAATGAGGAACTGAGGTAAATAGGGTTAAGTGACTAACCCAGGAACACACAACTCTTAAGTTTCTCAGGCCAAATTTTAACTTGGGTCTACCTGACTTCAGGGCCAGCTTTCTATCCACATTGTAGCTGCCCCGATTCCAATTTGGGATAACTCTAAAGGCTATTAATTTTTTCCTTTCCAAAACACTCTACTTCTACCTCTTGCCTCTATTTAGGTGCTCAGAAACCAAGCAAAATATAAGTAAACCGGTGGTTTTCATTCATCTACGTGACAAACGAAGCTAAATGCTTCCTCTACCTTTTGAGGAATGAAATTGTCACTAAGGCAAGCCGATAAATTATTAGCTGCCCTGCTTCTAGCAAAGAGAGAGAAAGAAGATAAAGAAAAAAAGGGGGGAGAGAAAGAATAACAAGGGGAGGGAAAGAATGCAATAGAGGAAAACAGGAAAACAGTATAAGGTCGAGAACATGTTCAAATAATTAAGCCTCTCATCACTACCATCCATTCCTCCTTGAGAGGCCAGGAATATTATTTTCTGAACTCCTCATATATTTTCTCTTTTCGTCCAAGTGAAATGACGTCAATATCATTTATGCTTCTACCTGCTGATCCACTATTTTAACTCTGACATTTCTTCATATCTATCTTTTTTAATGTGATATACTGTATGCTATTTCGCAAATTCTTCATTTCCCTCCCTCCCCCCAATGCCCACACCCATGACCTTTGGCTAGCCTGTTCCCTGGAAATAAAGGATCCCTTTCAGAGCTTTAATTCAGTCATAGGTCTTATCCCATTAAGTCACTAAGTTTCAGTGATACCTATGTTGTCAAAATTACCTCCATGTGTTAGGATCTCTAGTTCATCTTGCTTATTACCCACACATTGTACATTTGTGCAATATACACCTGAAACCACAGCTTTTATTGCAGTGTCCTTTCATGGAATTTGTCTCCTGTCAACCTCTGTATTTTATATAATTTTTTTAAATTTTATATTATCTATATTATATTTTACATATTAACTATATAACATATATCTATATATCATATTTTTATTTTATATACTCACTATTAAGTGAGTTATTTTATGTAAATACTGCTATTCTTTGCCCTACACTGTAGCCTCTCTCAAGGCATTTAACTCAATAGAACCCAAATTTGTATTATGCCCCTTCTTTTTCAGTTTAAATATACTTTGTTTAGATTTTCAAAATTCTAGGCAAATATATTTTACTAGCCCTTATTAGAAACACTCCATCCTTGGCCAAGGATTCATCATTACGCCAATTTTTTAAGTCATGGATCAGAAATTCAAATCCTATTCTCAAACATCATTTTCTCATCCAGCCACTGATTCGTATCCAATAAAAGTTCTCTTCTGAAGTACTTGTATTTGATTGACACAATAATGAAAATCATTTATGTTTAAGAAACATCAGATCTACACACGTCCAAATACATTAGGGAAACAAAGGTTGAAAATGTTGGACAGCAAGGGTTTGAATAAGGGAATAACACTCCTAAACGGGAAAGGACAGATAGGATCGGTGGCACAGGTGGAAAGATGGAGCCTGAGAGGAGACACATCCTCTGAGACCAGAGAGCAGGATGAGAAGAGAGGTGCTGGGATGAAGTTGAGGGATCAAGTAGGAATTAAAGCTACATGTGGCACCTGATACAGATCTCCGCAGTATTCAGAGGAAGCTCATCATCATACTGTTATTACATCCCATTTAATATATTCCATTTAATAAGATCATCTACTGAGAGTAAGGCCGAGAGGTGAGAGAAAATGGGCAGAAAGGATATGGGGTTTTAGGGAGGAGACCTAAAAGGAACAGGCCAGGGAGTTAACACAACATTAATAAAGAGATGCTAGATAGTGGGGAGAACTCAGTTGAAGTTCTGTATCAGTTACAGTGAAAAGTCAATTGGATTTGGAGCAAGGGACTTGGATTCAAATCCTGACTTCAACTGTATGTCCTTTGGCAAGTCATTTAGTTTCTTTGGGTCTCATTTTCCTAATTTGTAAAATGAGGTGGCTAAACTTGATGATTTTCTAAGTTCCTTTCCAGTTCTAGATCTATGATCCTATACCCCTTTTAACAAACATCATTACTTTAATAGACATTTTGCTTCATCCAACACAGCCTTTCATAGTTCTGGAAAATGCAGAGTGCAATAATGAATCCCCATAATAAATGTTGTAGAATATCTAGTTGCTATACTCAACAATCCTAATGGAGCTTGACAGCGTAGAGACTCCAGCGATGTAGACAACACCTCAGACATACCTGCCTATCCTGTGTCATTTTCTTCCATGTCCTTCCATAAATCTGCCATGGAGGTCCATACAATGTTCTAAGAGCCTTTCTTGTACTCTCAATATTCACAGATAATAACGGAGTAGCAAACTGTCTATTGATTGTTCCTTCTATAACTTCATGACCAACCTATCCTTTTTTCTGGTTAATACATTTCTCTTATGACCACCTTTAGACTGTTTCTCTTGTGTAACCTTTAGACATATTGAAGCCCATTCATGCCCACCATGAACTTCTCCACTGCCCCTAAATTAAATTCCTTGAAGATTATGGTATTATGCCAATCCATAATTCAAAGCCATACATCAGCACTGGCAGAATATTGGTTCCTAAAAAATGGGCCTTTGCTTCAGAGAGAAGCTTGGGATGATTAAAACAACCATGCATTCCTAGGGAAATCCATAATCTTCCTCTTGATCAATTCTTGACCCAGCTCATTGTCCCTTTTCAGAGTCCATCAAAGAACCTGGATGGGTGATTGTCAAACTTAGTGAATCCCATCACTATAATAATTTCTAATTTATGAATTCAGAATGAAGACCTTTAAATGGGATTATAAAATAGTAATAGCTTTAAGCACAAAGCAGAAACAATCACAAGTTAGCCATTTTATAACACATAAATAAAAATACCTTAACATACAACTTTTAGGCACATAATAATTTACCTTAATTTGTATGTCAATATCAGTAAATGTTGTAGTAATATTTAAAACTGCTTCATTCAAACAAAGTGGTCTCAGTTCCCATGACTCATAGGGCATATGAATGTGATTATCTTGAATCAATGTGATAGGATAAACAGATTCCACACTGAATGACACGATCCTTTCCTTCATGTTATAATAGAGGCTGACAAAGCCATCAGTTCGCCAACCTTTGCCTTTATAGTGGACAAGGGAAAATTATGTGAATTTTCCATATAAAAAAAATTCAATAGAAATTGAGAAACTCTGAAATGGCAGAGTTTTCCAATAGAATAATTCTCTAAAAAAAAAAGAGCATTTTTCTTAGAAAATGAAATAGACACAAATCATATCACCCTCCATATTTTTATTCAGTTGCTATTACATGTGTTGTCATTCATTCCACAAACCTTTGAGTATAGATAATATGTAAAACATGGTGTTTGGTAACATAAAAGTAGGGATGAATTCATTACATGTCACCACCATCACTGTGTGAGGTGGCTTCTTTGATACTATTGCTGGGAGTGCAGCCATCCTACCATTAGATTACATAGCAAGACAATAAAGCTGTCATTCCAGCATAATCAAAATGGTGAAATAAACCAATTTTATTACTTCTGGTTTTTAAAACCTTATTATTAACATACAATCATATAACTAGATATTAATTACTATAATGTTAAATTTAATATGTATTTAAAAAATAAGGGAGAGAAGGGAAGGAAAAGGAAAGGGAGATAGGGGAGGGGAGGAAGGATGAAAATGTTGCTACCATCTCCATTTTACAGACGAAGACATATAGGGAGATGGGGTGACTTGCCAACAGTCACACAGCCTGGGAGTCTTAGAGACAAGACTTCAGTCCTGGTGGGTACAACCTCCAATCCCATTTCTTCCCCCCTGCAATTGTAGTCCTAGAATTGATTCCACATATTTTGCAAGCGTGGTTTTGAATGAAGTACTTATCTTTTCTAACTCTATTCCTAAGAGTAATTTCACGACTGTACCTTCTGAATCCCATCGTGCGACCATAGGTTTCTCGAAAAACACTACATTTTTATTTATTTCAATCATGACCTCGATAGGTGGGTAAGGGTTTTCAGTTTCAGAAACATCATCTGCGATGTCTGGAGGATACATGAATGCCTGTAATCCTCCGCTGATGAGCTTTAAAAAGAGACAAACATTACTAATGTAGGAACTGCCTCATTAAATTTCTAAATACTAGACATAGTATTAAATCCGATAGACATCGATGTCTTTAATGTTTCACAGTTGAATCTCATTTTACAAAGGCTGGCCATAAAGTTATACTGGGGAGAGTTAAAACTACAGAGAACCCAAACTTCATGTTGTTCAATCCTCACAGTTTTCTCATTTATTCAGCAGTCAGGGCCAGGTAGTGTACAGAGAGCTGGCCTTGGAACCAGGATGCTGTAGGGTTCAATGCTACTTCTGTTACTTTACTTCACTTCACTTCATGTCACTTCACTTCACAGTGCTCCCTGAGATAATCCCCTCAGACTCTTTGCTGCAGAGAAGGTGAATTGATGCAGAGAGTCTCCTCACCTGCAAGTTCCTTGTGCCAGTGAGAACAAAGACTCAGTGTTTATCCCTATCTGGTCTTGCTGCAAGCGTTTAATAATTGGTGTTATGTACAAGTGCTGGATTCTATGGACAATTCAAGTGAGTAAAAGACATTACCACATAAAAGTCAATATCTATCTAAGGAGAAATGGGATATACCCAGTGAGGTGCTGATTCTCCAAAAAACACACACAAATGAACAAATGACATACTTTAAAGTTTAATCTGTACTATTAACTTTCTTCCATCACTTTCTTAAGTCTAGACAATAAACAATAAATCAAGCCCTGATTTGTAGTATTTGCTAATTCCCATGGTATAAATGCTCACTTTGAAAATTTGACAATCAGCTCTCTTGAGTTATTTTGCACTGGCTCCAGAATACACACACACACACACACACACACACACACACACACACACTGTCTCTTTATCCCACTTTAAAATCTTTCCCACAATCAGACCCCAAACTACTTTTCTAACTTTACTCACACAACTTGCCTTGACATAGTCTACACTAGATGGACTGTCCTGCTTACAGTTTTATGGACACAGATTCTATTTTTCTATGTGTCTTTGTCCATGACATTTCCTATTCCTGGAATGTCTTTTTCTCACATCTACACTTATGTAAATCCTATCCATCCTTCGTGACTGGACTCAAACGTCACTTTCTCCAGGAAGTCTTTCCTAATCTCCCTAGTCAGAAGCAATCAATCAATTAATCAAGCAGCAACTACTTACTTGTTAAGCGCCTCTTATATGCCAGGCACTTTCTAGTCATGAATACAAGTACAAAAAATGAAAGAATCACTATTCACAATGGTCTTACATTGTAACAGAAGAGAAAAGGACCTATATCAATACATAAATACATACATACTTTAATATGTGTGCATATCTATACACATGTAACACAAAAATAAAGTTAAAAATACAAATATATACAAAGCGTTAAATATCCAGTAGTTTGGGAAGCGGGGCATTAACAATTGAGGGGATCCAGAAAGGCTTCCTGGAAAACCTTTGCCTTCCACTCTATGGTACCACTAATTGTACCTCCCAGCAACCTTTGTAAGGATGCTCACAGAAGGATCTTATTGCATAAAAGCGAAGCCCACTGCCATCCTAAAGAGGATTTATTAAGTACTGTTTGTGTGCCAGGCCTCATGCTAGGTAGTGGGGATCTAAGTACAAAGAACTGAAAAACCTCTCATGTAAGCAAGGAACTCCCATTCTAATAGTGTACTTAGATGGGCTTTTGTCCTTCTCTTATGTACTTACACACTCATTTATATCATAGTTCTTTGTGGATGTGGCAAGTTATGTCTAATGGCAAGTTATGTCTAACAACAAGCGTGGCTTAGCCTGGAAGTGTGAAGCTTCTAACGATGGGCATGCTGGGGGTGAGGGGGAGAGGAGCTGGAGATGTGGGGAGAGGGGAGTTGAGCCTCTGCAAAAGAGTCACAAAGCAGCTGGGGCAGAAATGACATGGATACAGCAAGAAAGGGGACACACGCTGAAGATGTTTTAAAGACACAAGAGAAAAGAAAAAAAAAAGGAAGATAAGGCAAGAAGAGTCTGCTCTGCCTGTATTTTTGGTTATAAGGCTGCAGCGTCTCTGGGTAGGAACTGGTTTGTGAGTCCTGTAGGAAGGTAGCAGAGTGACAGAGAAGAAGCTGGACTGCCTCGAGGCATATCCAGGTTATCGTAGCCGTTGGTGAGCAATTGAGAGAAGCCTGCTATAGTCAAACTGCTCCGTCCTGAGTTTCCTTAAATCAATCAGTCAATATTTATTAAGCACTTTTTATGTACCAAGAAGAGTGCTAAGTGCTAGGGATACAAAATGGCAAAAGTAGTCTTTGCCCTCAAGGAGCTTACATTCTAATGGAGGAGACAACATATAAGTAACAGGTATATTTATCTACAGAGCTGATAGAAGGTCATTTCAGAGGGGAAATCATTAGTATATGGGGGCGGGGGGGGACCAGGAAAGGGAGACCAGGGCTGGATATATAGAAGTGAAGGTCATCTTCATAGAGATGATCATTGAATCTATAGAAGCTAATGGGGTCACCAAGTGAGAGAGGGCTCAGGACAGAGCCTTGCTAATCCACAATTAGTAAATAATTTAAAAAACAGGAGATCCATGAGGATCCATATATAGGAGAGGTAAGACAGACAGGAAGAGAACTAAAGGAGATCAGTAATGTTAAAAACTGTAAAGTATTTTATGTTCAGTGAATAGCACTATCTTTGTAAGTGCCCTCTTCACTAAGATTATATTTAGGCTGGGCTACACACACAACTATTTTGAGCTTATACACAGTAGGTATGTCATAATTAAATGAATTAAATTTTCTGATGAACAAGTTGGATAAAAAACTTAAATCAATAAAAACTGATTCTGTTTATCCATCTATAAACATATTCTAAGGATTAAAAATTGGGTTAATAGTATGTATTAGATTTTACTTTATAATTTTCTCTTCTGACAGATTTTCCATTTAACATTTTATTTATATTTTCTGAGTCCGTAAATGTAAACACTTTTCCCCCATATGTGCTATATGTTAGACCCTCTAAGAAAAGGTAAAAATGATCAGGATAATGATTGTGTTCCAAGAATCTACCTACTTCCACAATGGTCCAGCCTTTTACTTGTTTACACTGTGGAGGAAGCTGTAGTATATTCAAATGGTATATTCCACCCAGTGGCGTGAATCCTCTTAAATCAACTACATCCTCATCAATAACAGCTTCAGTAATAGCATCTGGTATTGATTTCTCTGGTAATGTTGCCATTGGACCTAAAAGTTGAGCATATTTCTAATCAATCCAGGTCCTGAATATCTTAAAAAAGTATTTTCTTGAGAAGATTACTAAAAGATTAGGAAGACACTGTAAATGAAACAATTTGGATTTAAACAGTTATTAATATTAAAGCTTTTTAATGGGATTAGCTTAGAAGTCACAGTCTTTTATATTTAATAGGTTTTTAAATTTTGAACATACTAAGGTATCCATCTAACTCCCAAATTAGCACAATTTCAAATTGGGCAGGTAGATTTGTTCAAATCAAATTTGTAAGACATTGAAACTCTGTGTAGATTCAGCAAGAGAAACCATGCATTGTGAAAAATAAATAAGAGAAAGATTGGATTAGACACTCTCTAAAGACCATTTCAGCTATAGCATTCTTTGCTTCTCAGCTAACAATCACAGAAAATTTGCAAGGTTGCCTAAAGGGTTCAATTTTAAAATTATTTTTTTTCTTTTTCACTTTTATGGTAAATGATAGATGAAGGTTAATAGTTGGTTTTAACCTGTGGAGACCAGGCACTTAATATTAATTAATACTCCTAAGGAAGCTTCTGTTTTTGTTTTTTGTTTCTTTTTTCTTTTTGGCTAGTTTTGTAGTTAGCATTTCTTAGAAGAACGCAAGAAAGAATACCGTCCAAAAATGATCCTCATGGAATGAGAGTTAGTTACTTTTGGACCATACTATAAAGACAGTGTTCCACTGAGAAAAGTTTGCTGCATAAATCAAGTCATCATCACCTAAAAGATGAATCATACTGGTTATAAGAAGCTTACTTGATTTTTAAAAATTATGTAAAGGCTATGAAGATGGTAGCATGGATAAGCAAAAGGAGCACAACTGTTAAAAGCACTGGATATGGAGAGAGAGGGCTTCTTTTCAAATCCCAGTTCTGCCACTTACTATCTGTGTGAACTTGAGCAAGTCACAACCTTTCTGGATCTGTTTACTCATCTGTAAAATGAGATGCTAGTGTAAGATCCCTTTCACTGCTCAGCCTATGAATCCACGATCTTGTGGTTCCATGTAAACTAAAGACTTCCCAGTCCCTTGAGAAATATACTTTCCAACTCTTGTTCTGGGGACAGTAATCAAATCACTACAACTATTGCTTCCTGAAACAGTATGTCAATTAACTGCCCAATGGATCATTTCATCATCCCTTTGACACCCCAGAGCAAACTTCTTGTTCGACTCTCCTGGATATTTAATCTTCCCTTACTCGAAAGTATGCTTCTTTTTTTTTTTTATTCGAATGTATACTTCTTGAGAGCAGACTGTCACTTTTTGCATTTGAATCCCCAACACTAAAGCTGAGTGCATGGCACATAATAAGTGTTTAATGTTTTTTCATTCCCTTATTAAAAATTTCCAACTGTGTTCTGAGGAGAGGGAAATGAGGAGGCAGTGAAAGGACCTGTTATGAAAATACACCAAATTACAGAATAATTCTCAGAGAGAGAAGCATTAAAAGAAGATGTAAAGTTACTTAAGTACTCCAACACATACATCTTGATGGTCTTGGCAATGATTCAGAACATAACCCATCTATGCCTGCCGCCTGTGTGACTCTCTATTTATATCCTCCAATACATTCACCCAACAGGCAAAGGACTTGCCTCATTTTCTCCTGAGATCACAAGGATACTAGTGGAACACCTTGGCTTTTGACACTTGACCAGCCATGGGGTCAAGTTAATTAGAGCATATTTATATATGCATACAAACATATAAGACTGTCATTTTCATATATCCAAATTATAATAACAGCTATTTGGATGAATTCTAAGGTCCCTTCTAACTCTAAATTAATCCTATAATCATATTTTGCTGAGAAGAAAAAAAAGATTAAATTCATAAGCTTCAATTATTCAAAAGAATGATAATTTGAGAGCTTACCTACTGAAATTGATTCAGGCTTTAATGGTTTTGTTTCAGTTTCCTCTTTTTTTGCTTCAGCTTCTTCTTTCAGTGAGGTAGTACTCTAGGAAAAACACATTCACAGGAAGATTAAATTCAGCTCAATAAAAGTTAATTAAAAAAGAATACTATTATGGGCGGGATGCTGTTAGAAAATAGGGAAGATGTAAAAATAAGTAAGACATGATTCCTGTCTTCAAAGAACTTACAAACACATATGCAAATCATAATACAAAGTGAAACATGGTAAGTACATAAAAGCAGCACAAACAGCTACAAACTCATGAGATCTGCTGAAGAAAAGATTAATGAATATTCAAGGTCAGTTCTAGGGAAGTTGAAAAGAATATAAACTGTTTTGGGGGTAATCCCTCCAATCCTGCTTTAGTAGCTCCTATTCCCATTGGCAAGCCATGGCACTTGAGGGTTGCTAACTACTCTTCCTCTCACAGTCCAAGGGATAACTTTGATAAAGGGCTGCTGCTCGTGAGCCCCTACTCAGGATGCTCCCCCACTGATTATCAGTTGGCCAGTCAGCATTAATGAGGTTTATTTTAGGAAGGGATATTTACTAAGCAGATATGTCTCCCCCTACACTGAGGGCATCCTCTCCCCTTGTACATGCAAGGTCCTTGGGAAGAAAGGTATAAACTACTTACAGTATATAGGTATAAATGAACTTACAGAGCATATGTAACAAGGAGTAACTCATGGCTCCCAGGTTACTGGAAGCCCTTTTCTTTCTTAATGGATTCTTCATGAAGTCTCTCTTAAATATAACTCTTTTGAGCTCAGAAGGCCTATGCCCTTGTGACCTCTGTGTGTCTAGCTTGTCTATGGTGTGTCTCAGCCCCAGTGCAGACACTACCATTAGTCACTTTTGTTTTAGGTATACTCCTTCCAGTGATGATAAAAAGTCCAAGTTGTCTTCTAACTTTTCAAAGTTCACAACATCCTCCTCTAGTCAAGTGAGTGTGTGTGTGTGTGTGTGTGTGTGTGTGTGTGTGTGTGTGTGTGTGTGTTATTCTCTTGGGGTTCCCCTTACTGCTTTCTAATATTGGAGAAAGAGGTCAAAGCACTTGACTTAAAATTTGACTGTTTTCCTGCTGGAATCAATTCTGATATACATAGGTCAAGATGTAAATCAAATTCTCTCAACCAATACCAATACTCATCCTGTGTGTCATCATCTGATTTCATCCAACGGCTCAAAAGCACTTTGCCACTCCTAAAGTGATTAAGGACATACTCAAACTTAGTTTATACCTTTGATGATGATCCTATAACTCAAAGAGGTACTGTTACCAGATAAAGGTATAAGGTCATAAAGTATCTTATTCATCAAATTAGGGGCTCAGGAGTATATGACATCCTTTTTATGCTAGTACTTTCCAACTCTCAACAGCATTCCTATGGCCTTCCTTTCTTGCCTTGGGTACCCTTTATCTTTATTCTCTTGCTTAGGGACTTTCCAAAATATCTGAAATCCTATCATATATGCCATACCTATTCTGTCTACCATGACTGATTTTGCAAACAATATTAAAAGTAGCAGACTGAGTGTCAAAGTATGTCTTCAGAAAACTTCAACATTCTAGAGAATAATCTTCTAGGACCAAAAACAACTTCTAGGATTTCTTAAACAGTAATGCTAAATATTATCAAGTATGAAGTATAGCATAGGGAACAATACTATACTAGCAGCATTAGAAGGATCTTGTTTTTTAATTTTCTCTGAAATGGATTTTGCCTTAGTAGAATTTGCTGGATCTGGAAATTTGGCTTTCTAGAAGGAACAATTCTGAAACCTGTATTTAGGTACTTCAAAGTAATGAATTAGATAAACTTCCTCTATATGGAAGGTTGTCTCTTTTCTAGAAGCTTCTATTCCCCTCACCCCTACACCTATTAATGTAGAACTACTTACCATGTCATGTTATTGTAATATGATGAAAGAACACTAGACTAGGAAGTCAGAATACCTGGATTCTAATCCTGGCTTATAAATTACGTGACCTTAGACAATCATTTAATAATAATACGTAATGGAATCAAGATGACAGAGTAAAGGCAGGGACTCTGCTCTCCCCCGAACTTCTCCAAATACCTTTAAAAATGACTCTAAACAAATACTGGAGCAGCAGAACCCACAACAAGACAGAGTGAAATAAATTTCCAGCCTAAGACAACCAGGAAGGTTGACAGGAAAGGTCTATTGCACCAAGTTGAGAGAGGAGTGTGATCCAGTGCAGGCAGTGCCAATGTGGCCCTGACCCCAGCACAGCTCCAGCCCCAGCAAACCAGGAGCAGGCCTCGGGAGTCAATGAATCAGCAATGGCAGCAATAGTGGCTGCTTCTGGAGCTCTCAGCCCACAGACAGTAAGGGGGATCAAACAACTGGTCAGAAGGAGATTAACAAGGGTCTCTTTCCTAGCACTGAGGCAGGACTCTGTTGCTTTGCCCATACTTGGATCTGAGTCACAGTCCTGGGTGGCAGTCCTGGGGTGAGGAGAAACACTAGCATAGCAGAGCTTGTGGCAGGAGTGGAGAGGGGACCCTCCTCACAGTTCCAGGGCAGAAAAGAGTGCTTGTGGTCACTCAAAGACCAGGGCATAGGCCAGGAGAAGAGTTAACACCTCTCCTTAGATCATACCACTTTGGAAGAACTGAAAACTTACAGGTCCCTAGAAGTATCCCTGAAGCTTGGGACAGTTTGCCCTCCACTCTGGAAGTCAAGCCCTACCTTAACAAAGAGTTAAAAAGTCAAGTAATAGGCTGAGAAAATGAGCAAACAATGGGAAAAAACTCTGACAATAAAATCTCACTTTGGTGACAAGGAAGATCAAAACATACACTCAGAAGAAGACAACAAAGTCAAAGCTCCTATATCCAAAGCCTCCAAGAAACATATGAATTGGTCTCAGACTATGGAAGAGATCAAAAAGGATTTTGAAAATCAAGTAAGAGAAGTAGAGGAAAAATTGGGAAGAGAAATGAGAGTGATGCAAGAAAATTATGAAAAATGAGTCAACAGCTTGGTAAAGGAGACCCAAAAAAAATACTGATGAAAATAACACTTTAAAAAATAGACTGGGCCAAATGGCAAAAGAGGTCCAAAAAGCCAATTAGGAGAAGAATGCCTTAAAAAGCAAAATTGGCCAAATGGAAAAGGAAGTCCAAAAGTTCGCTAAAGAAAATAATTCCTTAAAAATTAGAATGGAGCAAATGGAAGCTAATGACTCTATGAGAAATCAAGAAATTTTAAAATAAAACAAAAGAATGAAAAAATAGAAAACAATGTGAAATATCTCATTGGAAAAACAACTGACCTTGAAAATAGATCCAGGAGAGATAATTTAAAAAATTATTGGACTGCCTGAAAGCCAGGATAAAAAAAAAGAGCCTAGACATCATCTTTTTTTTTTTTTTTTTTTAGGCAACGGGGCTAAGTGACTTGCCCAGGGTCACACACAGCTACTAAGCGGTAAGTGTTTGGTCTGAGGCCAGATTTGAACTCAGGTCCTCCTGAGTTTAGGGCCAGTGCTCTATCCACTGCACGACCTAGCTGCCCCTAGACATCATCTTTCAAGAAATTATCAAGGAAAACTGCTCTGATATTCTGGAACCAGAGGGTAAAATAGAAATTGAAAGAATCCACTGATTACCTCCTGAAAGAGATCCCAAAATGAAAACTCCCAGGAATATTATAGCCAAATTCCAGAGTTCCCAGGTCAAGGAGAAACTATTGCAAGCATCCAGAAGTATGGTGGAACCAGAATCAGGATAGCACAAGATTTAGCAGCTTCTACATTAAAGGATCAGAGGGCTTGGAATATGATATTCTGGAGATCAAAGGAGGTAGGATTAAAACCAACAATCAACCACCTAGCAAAACTGAGTTTAATCCATGAAGGGAAAAAACTGACATTCAATGAGATAGAGGCATTCTTGAGAAAAGACCAGACCTAAATAGAAAATCTGACTTGCAAATCCAAGACTCAAGAGAAGCATGAAAAAGTAAACAAGAAAGAGAAATCATAAGGGACTTATTAATGTTAAACTGTTTACATTCCCACTTGGAAAGATGATATCTGTAACTCATAAGATCTTTCTCATTATTAAGGTAGCTAGAAGGAGTATACATAGACAGAGGACACAGGTGTGAATTGAATATGAAGGGATGATATCTAAAAATTAAATTAAGGGGTGAGAGAGGAATGTACTGGAAGAAAGAGAAAGGGAGAAGTAGAATGGGGTAAATTATCTCACATAAAAGAGGCAAGAAAAAGCTTTGGGTGGAGGTGAGAGAGAATGAGTGAACCTTATTCTCATCAGAATTGGCGAATAACATACACACTCAATTGGGTATAGAAATCTATCTTACCCTACAGGAAAGTAGGGGAAAGGGGATAAGAGAAAGGGAGTATATACAGAAGGGAGGGCAGATTGGAGGAGGGAGTAATCAGAAGCAAACACTTTTGAGGAGGAACAGGATAAAAGGAGAGAATAGAATAAACAGGGGTTGGGATAGGATGGAGGGAAATACAGTTAGTCTTTTACAACATGACTATTATGGAAGTGTTTTGCATGACTACACATGTATAACCTATATCAAATTGCTTTCCTTCTCAATGAGGGTGGGGAAGGGAGGAAGAGAGAGAATTTGGAACTCAAAGTTTCAAAAACAAATGTTAAGACTGTTTTTTACATGTAACTGGGGAAAAAGTAAAATAACAAATTTTTTAAAATGCTAAAAATAATAATAGGTAACATTTACAGAGTACTTACTATGTGCTAGGCATTATGCTAAGCACTTTACAATTATTATCTCATTCGATCTTCAAAATAACCTTGGAAGGTAGGTATTATCATTATCTCTATTTTACAGATGAGGAAACTTGGGCAAAGAGCAGCTAAGTGACTTGCTCTAGAACACAGTTAATAAATGTCTGAGGCTGAATTTGAACTTAGGTCTTCTTGACCCCAAGCCTGGCGCTACCTCACTGGCTCTCTGAATCCTTAGTTTATTTTTCTGTTTAAAATGGGAATAATAATACCTTCCTT